AGTCTCAGCTCCCTATTTGAAATACGGAGATAGCAACACCGGCCTTACAGGGCTGTTGCAAAGATTGCAGATAAAAGTACTTAATATTTATATTTCAAACCCTTCTTATTATGGTTTTATAACTGCTTTTAATGGTGGTTTCACTGCTGCTGATTTTTAGGGTTTAATGTCTCCACTGAGTTATCTTAAATGTTTTGAAGGTACAAACTAACAGAGCATTGGTACTCAAGTCTCACTGGTCCAATCTCAGAGCAAGATCTACTAGCTACAGATGCCACATAAGCAGAGGTCCACTGGCCACTTCATACCGGAAACTCTGGTGAATCATTTTGTTCTGCAATCCACTTATATGTAAACTTGGCCAGCGAAGCACTAGGCTTTGTCGAGAAAGTGAGGATTTTCAGTGCAGCAGCAAAATCAAGCATGTTAATTTTGTTCGTGCCGGGATTTCAGAAACTTAACACTTCAAAACAGAACCTTGCATTAAAAACAAACAAACAAACAAACATGGGAAGCCCAGTAAAATTTGAAGTTGCCCATCATATGAGATGTGCCAATGTTCTCTTGGGAGAAGTTACCTACTTTGCTAAAGAGAAATAAAAAATCCAAGGGAAGGAAAGCAACTAGGAATTAAGGAGGAAAACAACATGCCAAGGAGGCTTCCTCCACTGGAGCGCTCGCATCAAAACGCCAATCCCGTGAATCAAGAAGCAACAAACTTCTAAGCTTGCACGCCAAGACAAGAGGCTCCCTGCTGCAGCTGGGAGCCTGTTCACACCTGCCAGTGTTTTGGAAAAAGCCATAAAGTACAGCAGGCAACTTGCAGAATTCCAAACAGGTGCTAAGAGGGTTTTCACTTTGGAAAAGCTGGACTATAATGGGCACCTGTAGACTCTTACTGCCATGCCTGCGTCTCCACTTTTTAAACACCTGCGTCATTGGGGTTGTGGCAGCACGGAATCCCGAAGTAGGCAGACCTAGGAGGGCCATACATTTCAAATTACTTGTCAGTAATTACTGTTGATTGCCACTGTGCCCTCCCCTTTCCTGAGCCCTCTAAGCAGACAACAGCAAAACAGCAAAACTAATCTTGCAGATAACATAGGCATGTTAAGTCTCTCACTCCCATGCTGGGCTATGAAGAGGAAATGCAAGCACTGTAGTTCCCACTTTCTCCAAAACCCAAGCCAAACTGAGACAACACACACACTGTCTTCTCCTGAGTTCTCTGCCATGGCAGAAGCACTGGGGACAAGCAGGGCTTCCCCTCCCATTATGCAAAGTGTTGACAAAGGCAAGAAGAAGCAAGAGTGTTTTTCACTGCTTCTTCTAACAATCTCCAATGTCTGGAATTAAGCAAGGCAGGCCAGTGATGGGAAGGTGGCGTTAGGCTTTGAGAACAAAACAGAAGTTTGTCTATATTTTGTATGGCTCATTTCAATTCATAGAATCGTAGAGTTGGAAAGGACCCAAGGGTCATCTAGTCCAACCCCCTGCAATGCAGGAATCTTTTGCCCAATGTGGGGCTCGAACCCACGACCCGGAGATTAAAGGGTCTCAGGCTCTACCGACTGAGCTATCCCAGCAGTCACCATTACCGCATTCATAACAAAATTAATGCAACTGTTGCATGACAGAATGGGGTTGTCATTGTTTTGCATGATGGGCAAAATTCACAAAGAATTAGAACCGATTCTCAAAGCACTAGGGAAAAACCTCTGGCGCTGAAAGAGCATGTATTAGGTTTGCTGCTCACTGTACTTCATTGAACATACCCCTGGGATGTCCTATCGATGAACATTCCCTCCTTCCCCTTTCTCACACTGATCCCTCGTGCAGAAACACCTGCACACAGACTATAAATAGCTAATATTTTCAAGTGACATTTCGATCAGAAAGCGGAGTAGGCCTTCCTGCTTTTGCAATTTAAGGCCCTATGTTTACTCTGTTCCCTCTGGGGTCCCCTTTGCGAGATCAAGGTTTATTTATTTATTTTACACTTTTCTCAATGTAGTTTCCAACAGCCAGCCATCATCGCTCAGCCTGCCCTATCAGAACTCTGTTTTAATCCTCACTATAGTACTTTGCAATCTGACAGATAGGCTGGTAAGCCTCTGTTAGAGCTTGATAGCACTTGCGAAAATTGGTTTTCCCAGACAGCTGTTGCAGCCCATTCTGCAGGACCTGGGCCTGTAGCAAATGCTGGAATCATCGTGACATTCAGAAAGGACTGGGGGAGAAGCTGCTGCTATGCAGTGGCAAGGCAACTTTTTCAACTTTGAAGGTTACAAGGGAAACAAGTGATAAGCCCAAAACACACAGCTAATTTGCAGGTGCCTTTTCCCCTTTGCATGCAAAAGATCCATAGTGTGTTAAGAGGCCTGTGATATCTTGTTCTATCTTGCTAATTTTGTCTCTTAAGGTGTGCTTTCTCTTTTATGCAGGCTCCTTTCGTGCAAAAGATCTGTAGATCCACCTCCGGGATCTCCATTTAGGGCTGGGAAGGACCCCTGTCTGAAACCCTGGAGAGCTTCTACCGCTCAGTGCATATGACAAGAAGCTAGATGGATCAGTATCCTCACACCGAATAAGAAAGCTTCCTATTTTTATGTTACTTACCCTAAAGTGAGAAATGAGACAAGTGTCAGGCAAAGTGGGGAAGACACGTGTGATTTTGGATGGAAACTGGCATTAAAGCCGAAACTTGCCAGGCAGTTCTAAAGTTAAGGCAAGCATCTTGGAGGCTATCCCTGTAGCAAAAACAATTATATGGGGAACAGTTCTTGACATTCACTGGAGCTGCAGGAAGCATCCTAGCCTGCAACACCCTAGCAAATGCTCATTGGATCCCGTGAGAGTGCTAAAACATTAAAAAAATAAATTTTTTTTAAAGAAAATGCCTAGAGGTGGGCTGCTACTGTTTGCACTTCACAGGCAAGTATAAACTCCACCCATTTATCCATCCATTTCTCATGTAGTACCAGTGATCCAGTTCTGGTTTTCCCAGATAGGAGACAAGTAAATAGTGAGTCCATGCCTTTTTTACTTGAAAGTTAATCAAACCTCCAGAATGTCATTCCTTTGTCCTACTACAGTGGTACTTCTGGATGCAAACGGGATCTGTTACGGAGCCCCATTCGCATCCTGAAGCGAACGCAACCCGCGTCTGCATGTGCGCAGGTCACGATTCGCCGCTTCCATGCACAACGTCATTTTGAGCATCTGCGCATGCGCGAGCGGCGAAACCCGGAAGTAACATGCTTCGTTACTTCCGGGTTGCTGCAGACATAACCTGAAAACGCTCAACCTGAAGCACATTTAACCTGAGTTATGACTGTATTTCTGAGTTAAAGTTTATACAACGCGGCAGAAGTCTTGGGAGTAGTATGCACTGGGCTGCCAAGAGCTGCAACCATAATCCCATCTATACCTTTTCAAAAAGGTGAAAAATTCCTAACCTGAGCTGCAATACTGTGATGTGTGTGGATCTTTCATTGGACACTAAACAGCAGCAACAATTATGCAGCTAGACAATTGTCATGCTACGCGCATTACAGCGGAAGTCCCTATACACCTGTGAGATTAATGCCATGAGATGCTGGCAAGTTTCGAAAGCAGCGTATTCTGTGTTATCACACACAGCCAAGCCTCTTATTTAGAGGTTCTGCAATTCATCCCCTTCCTTATTTCTCACATACCTTTACAACTATATGAATTAGAATTCCCTATGCAATGATGGAAAAGTTTATCAAATTTCCAACAAAACTATTTAAACTTTTAGGAGGCTGCCTAATTTATTTAAGGAATAAATTAAGCTGCCTAATTTGTTTTAAGCACTGAATTGAACTGATTGACTCTTAAGTTCCAGCATTAGCTTTTTAAGAGCCCGGAGAAGCAAACTCTCAGGGTTTCCAATCTGCCCTCAGTTATGAAACCAGACTTTGAGTCCATCAGAGCACCTGGATAACAAAGGCCTTGAGAGAAACTGTGGGGAAACATTTGCTGCTCCCCTTGTGAGAGAAATCTGAAACAGCCTCATCTCCCTCCAGCCCCAGCCTAGCCTGAGTAGGGGAGGAGGAAGGAAAACCACACATAAAAGATCAGAGTGGCAGCAAAATCCAAAAATTACTTATGCACTGTGTGATGAAGTACTTTCTTTTGTCTGTCATGAGTCCTGCAAATCATCAGTTTTACTTATCAAACCAACAGACACTTGGAAGTATTGGGATCCAACTCAGCTTGCACTGAAGGCTGACATGTGCATGGGAAAGAGGAGAGTGAGTAAAAACCCTTAAAGTTTCCTAGACTGCCCTTTCTGACCTAACCTGTGCCGACCTTCCCTCCGGCACTAGACTGATACCCTTAGGGTTGCTGATCTCATTTCCTACTTCCTTCTCCTTCAGCCTCACCTTGGAAAAGGAGACATCTACTTTGGATCTCTCTGCATGCAAGATGCAAGCATAGCTTGAGACGCAACAGCAAGCATCACTCATTGCATCTCTCAAGTTAGGCAGAACCAGGATCTTTCCTATCAAGCACGTATTTCCTGTAATAAACGTAGCTTTCTTGTTTTCCTAAACTCAGAATCTCAGTGTGACTATATCCAGGGTAAAGTGTGCTCTTCCAATTCAGTATTAAGTTTGACTTCTGCTGAGTGTTTTAACTCCAAATGCCAAAATACTTAGAAACCTGATTCCCACACTGGACAACCACATGCCTCTGAGAAGCCCACAAACAGGACCAATATAGTGCAAGAGGGATGAAAAGAAGATGTCTGTATCTCTTTTCTTCACTGTCATATTTTCTAACTAAAAAAGCCCCAAATTCTGGATTATGGACACCACATGTGCAACGTATTTGCAAAAACAAACCAGAGCTCTCTTCCATAAGTGAAAGTCTTGTGCTCCATAAGGATTAAGACATCAAATTCATGCACTAAGCTCACAGATAAAGAGAAGGGTTAACACAGCAGGGTTAAAACCTGAATTCCCAACACTTACACGAACATCCGAAGTTCCCTGCTCTGCTGGAGAGACTTCTTCTGAGCAGTTCTGAAGTTTGTACATCCAGTAATTCTTTGCAGTGATGATGAAGTTCAAAGGCAAGAGAGAACTAGTCCCCAGAAGGAAGAAAATAATGTAGGTGCCATTGAAGTGATCTTTAGGCTTGTGAAAACCGTGTCTGTTTCCCTCTGGCTCCTCGAACAGGGGTGTCTCTTCTTGGGTAGTGACATCCACCGGTTTGTACAAAGAGTTCGCACTGTGGTGGTAGTCATCTTGTTCCTCCAAATCAACAGCCACTTTTAGGATAAATTGAAGATGTGTTAAAGTTATGGTCACATAGCATGACACTGTCACTAGCCCTTTGACCCTTATAATAATACTAGTCTCTCTTACAGGGATATGGTACACTGAGAGAATGCGCACCTGAACACTTCAAGCGAGCTATATAAATGCTTATTAATATTAAGAAATACAACTCATCGGGTTGCCATAGAAAGCTGCAGCAACAGTTGCAAGCATCCCAAATAAATCTGTGTTAAAAGGACAAGAGTTCCTGAATTAAAAGAAACTCCTTCGGTGTTCCAGAAGAGAAGTAGTTAGTGTGTCCTTATGAATAATGGAACACTGAGGCCAGCTGCAGCCTAAACAAGTCTTTAGAAGGGCCTGTGCAAAATGTTATTACTTAAAATAATGTTAAATATATTCTGAAATATTCACATGGTTTTCAAACAGTATTCATGGAGTTTGCTTTTGCTTTACTGTATGAAATAGTTGAACTGCTAGCTGCCGCGAGTCTTCAGGGAAGGCAGGGTGAAAGTTTGTTAAAAAGTTTGTAAGAGAGAGAACAAAGTGAAGGGACAGCATCATGTGGAAGTAGTTACCTTAGAATTAAATTTTTGATCAAATGACTCTTGTTAAGTTTTTAAGCAATCTCCATTCTTCTAAGCCCTCCTGTCCAGGTCATCAAAACAATAATTAATGGACTGGGGAGAGAATAGAAGAGGTTCCCTTTTGAAATATGTGGCTGAATCATGTTATTCCTAGGGGAGCTGGGGAATATTTTGAGGCCAACCCACAGTGAAGAGAAATGGCAAAATGACATCTTTCATTGGGCCAATCAGTCGCTCAGTAAGATGTGGAAGCTTTTTAGTTACACAAAAGCGCTTTGCCGGAAAGCAATCGATGCTTAATGTATGCTCGGTATGATTAAAAGAAAAATAAGATATGCCACATGGGCAAATAAACTTTGGGAGCCAATCCAGGAATTTCCTTTCCTTTCAAGAAAGGTGGGCTCTCACGGAAAGTCCCACTTACAATACAAACCTAGCTTCACTGCCTAAAAAAATGAATTATGGAAGACATCTGTAGGTCATCTCAGGACTTGGGATTTGCAAACACGGCATTCTTCACACTGGCCTTTTGACACTTGAGAAGCTTATTTTTTTTAGGCCCCACTCTATTCTTGCGACTGCAATTTGCTTTAAAACGTTTTAAATACTGTGTTTTTAAATTGCTGTCACCTGCCTTGGGACCTTATGGTAAAGGGTAGATAAGAAATGGAATTAGTATCATTAATACACTGCCCAAATCCTTTGGGTACTCAGCGCCCTTGACCAGCCTTGGATACTGGGCAGCTGAGGAAGAGGCTATTTGCTGTTCTCTCAGAAAACACAATGTTTTGGCCTGGCTTTGAGGGAGACCCACAAAATGCATGCTGGGTCCCCCTGAAGCCTCACAAACCCTGACAGGCAACAATAAGAAAGCCAAAAGTTTTTAAAAAAGTCTCTCCGTGGGAAAAATCCTGGTGTGTCCCCCCCCCCCAGTGGCAAGAGAGAGCGCCTTAGTCTCGACTGAAAAGGTGCATCTTGCGAACGGGAAGCTGCCCGGGCCCTTCATTCCAGCAGTGCGTGGCAGGAAATGCACTCTGCACATGCTCCGTGCTGCCGCCGGCAAACACCCCGACCTCGGATTTCACGGCGAGCTTCCGAGACGGCCGAAACAAAGAGCGGCGGGAGGAGGAGCAAAGGCCGGAGGAAGAGGAGGAGAAGCAGCAGGCGGAAAAGGAGTCGCAGGTAGAGAGCAAAGGCGAAGAGAGGCGCAGCCGCAAACCCCCCGGCGGAAAGGTCCCCATGGCCTGAGAGCCCCGCGGAAGAAGGCGCCACTTACTGTCGCCGGCCCTGCGCGCCTCCCCATCTGCTCTGAGCCGGGCCTTCCCCAAGCACAGGCTCCGCCGGCCCTCGCGCCAAAGCCACGCCCGCCGCCGCCGCCGCGCAGCGCCGCCTCCTCCGCTGCTCCCTCCTCCTCCTCCTCCGCGGGGGCTTCTGCGAGGGTCGAGCAAGCGCTGCTCCCTTTCATCTCCCCCGGAAGGTGTTCCTTAGCCCTTCTTGGAAATAGGCTAAAAAAATATTTATAATACTACTAATAATAAGCATTCCTTTTGTGCGCAAGGGGCACAGGTCACGACTGCTGCCCTGATTCAGGAATCTCTATCTGGATCTAAGTATATCAGATCAGTTCCCCCTAAAATATTTCAGGGCACCCCAAAATTGGTGGGCCATTCAAATAGGGTGCGCGCGTGTGTGCACTGTGTCATGTGACCATACCTACCCCTCCCCGAATATTTTATTGAAGTTGGCACCCCTAATTCATTTCCAAAGCCCCTTCCCCACTTGCCTCGCTGTACCTAATAGTTCAGGAATCCCATGTATTTACAGTGAGACTTCCGGATATACGACGATATAATAGTAGTAGTAGTAGTAGTAGTAGTAGTAGTAGTAGTAATAATAATAATGAAACGGGTCCCGCAGATGCCTGGTGCCAGACTCCGCCTATAGATTCTTGGGTGCTGGGGACGGGGGTTTAATCAGCACTGGCAGGCTGGGCTTGTTTTTCTGCCAGGCAAAAGGGCAGAGGGAGGTGCTGGCCCTGCCATTAAGTGACCTACAAGACAAAATGTGATTTGAAACGCAGCAGGGGAAAATAAGCTCCCTGCGCTTTGGGCCACTACTGTGTGGATAGCCTTAGTGTCACCATTTACTGCAATCAATGGACTCTTCCAATACAGGTAATACATGTCCTGCCTTCCCCAACTCCTTCCTCTTTAATCTTTAAGGATCTTAATAATTTCTAGACAACCTGCTGTGTAGGGTTATTCTTTACACATACTCTTACATTGAGCCAAAATGGGGTTATAGATGTTAAGAAGAAATGTTTGTTTTGTTTTACACCTATTTCTCCAGTCCAGTCCCCTTGGAGGTGGTAAAACTACATCTAGGCCATTATCACTTCAGATTGATTTTTTTTAATCACTGCACATAGAAAATTAGCATCTCAAGGGAAAGGTTGGACTAGAACCTTTCCTTCCTGAAATCCAATTTTCTGTCTAGAGAGGATTTCTTAAAAATGCTGTGCCTGCAGTCTGATATGGTACAACCCAGACAGGTTTGCTCTGTGATAATTATGCCTCAGTCCACACTTTTTAAAAAAATAGCTGTTTCTCTTCCTCTTTAGGATAATTTCCCCTCTGCCGGTCAAATGATCTGAATCAGCATTGTCAGGAGGCATTAATATTTGTTGTAGATGGGTTGTCCAGCTGTGGGTTGATGAGGTTCTCTAATGGTACAAAAAGAGGTTTTGTTCAAATCGTTGGTGTTGATGGTGTTGGCCGCAGCCAATAAGAGGAAGATTGTGACTTGCGTCTTGTCTACAAACACTCCTAGGCAGTTCACTTGGAAATAAGTTGTTCTGATGTAATGAGACTGACTCCAGATTCTTTACAGACAGAAATTAAGGTTACAAACCTGACATATGCTTAAACCTACTGGTTTAAATGGGCTTGGGCGCCCCCTAATCTTTCATGAGATAGGACTGAAAATGAATGAAATTTCATGGCATAGAGATGCAATGATGGGGAAAATTTCCCGTTTTAAGTTTCAAATACGAAAGCAGACTTAAGGTCGATAAAGGCACACACAAAGTTTGATTGCGATTGACAGCATATTTTTGTATGAGATGATTATACATACAAAACTGCACAGCTTGGAAACCAATATACTGTATATAAATGCTCTGTATATATTGTATATAAATGCACTGTTCTTTCGAATTCCCCGAAGCCAAATATATCTAAATAGGTTCAGATATATCTGTGTCATGGTTATTATTGTTTTTCATTGATAATTAGGTAGGGTGTCACAGTGTCCTAACATCTGGAGCGTACATGTTGGGTAGCCAACATGGTGCCCCTCCAGATGTTGTGGACTACAACTCCCATCCTGCCTGGTCATTCTACATGCTGGCTGGAGCTAACAGGAGTTGTAGCCCAAAGCAAGGAGTGAGAGACATAGCTCAGTGGTGGAGCATCTTCTGTGTGCCAAAGGTTCCATGTTCATTCCCTAGCCCTGACAGTGAGTACTGATTAGATGGACTCAGTATAAGGTAGCTTCTTATCTTCTTTTTCCTATCTGCAAGACACCAGGGTAAGAGACTGGGGGGGGGGGAAGGAATACTCCCAGGTGAGAGCTGCGAGGGCCCACCACTTTCTGTGTGAGACCAGGGTTACCTTTAAGAGAGGACTCTGCATTTTCTCTTTCTGTGTTTTGTTTTTATTTAGATTAGTTTCCTTTAATGTACTGCATTTTGAAATAGCTTTAATTAAATCTTATTTTTTAAAAGTCTGTGTGTGTTGGTAGATTCTAACACTGAAAGCATCTGTGAACGACAAATGCCAACATCCTCTGCGCTGTACGCAAATGCATAGTGGATCAATACCTGTGTAGAAAGGGTATTGATAACTTGCCCTTAGACGCCTCCTTCTTTGTTGAAGAGATATCAGAATGATTGCCCTCCAGAGCTAACAAAAATAACTCCTCAAAGCTACAAATGGTTTTTGTTTTCCATCAAACAGACAAAAGAGAAACTTTTGCATGCCCCTAAAGCAGGTTACCAAATGGAGACATGCGTAAATTTAGAAGAAATCCATAAGAGCACAGTGGCTTTCTTCAACGGCATGGCCAACCCAGGCCACGAGAGCACCCGAGGAAGAGATTGCTCAGCCTGTCTTGGCCTGTAAGCCATCAGCTCAGAAGGGACAAGCTTGATATTTCCAAGCTGCTGTGGTCGATCATGTCAGAAAAGGCACTGTTGAAAAAGCGCCTCAGATCAGATTAGCACAAGAGACTGTGACAGCCTGCCAGGGTAAACAATACAATTAGGGTGGGTAGCGGGGAAACCCTGCATTTAGCCCAAGCTGTTCTGGTCCATCAAGTAAATATTACCCATTAAAAACTGCTTAGAAAGCCAAAAGCTGGATGTATTCAATCAGTAATACAGATTTGTCTGGTGGCCTGTAACAGCTTTTGCAGGCTTTCATACACTTGTAATATGTATTTTCCTGCTGATAATTTGCTTTGGTTTCCCTCACATTCTTTTCCTTAGCCAGCTATGGCCACTGTTCACAAAGTGTCAGAGTCTTTTCAGTCTTACTACTGATTTTAATTCATTTTGGGCTACTTTGAAAAAACCCCAAAACTTACTGGTTTCCCTCTCAGCAGATCACACACATTATAAGGATGAAAGCCCATACAGAGGTTCGATAATCTGTGCTAAGGTTCTGCACACGGAGTAATGTTTGCCTAAGCAAACCCTATTTAGATGAGTGGGACTTACTCCAAATCAGGTAACTTGTGTTTCTCCTGAGAGCTGCATTCCCTTGTGGTCAGAGACACTGCGAAGTCTACATTTCTACAGTACATTTCTACATCCTGCCCATTCCTGCCTTTCATTCAGACAAGCAAGAGGTGTTATCAGGTCTTAAAGACACATTCCAGCCAGGCAAAAATTCTTGAGATACATAGCAGGGCCAGTGAGGGGCGTGGCCTAGAGAGAAGGGGTGTGGCCTGGGGGAAGAGTGCTGAGGGCCAGATGGAGGTCTGCATTTGTCTCCCAGGGCCTGACGTTTGCCACCTGGTATACAGTGGTACCTTGCTTTACAACCATAATCTGTTCTGGACGTCCGTTTGTAAACCAAAACAGGTTGTAACCCAAGCTGCGCTTTCACCAATGGGGCCTCCAAAAAATATTTGTTCGTAATCCCCCCAAAATGGGTTGTAATCCAAAAAAAGGTTGCAAACTGGGACACGCACTTCCGGGTTTGACATGTTTGTAATCCAAGATGTATGCAAACCAAGGTACCTCTGTATACTATAGGCAGGTATAGGATAGGACTGCAGCCAAAATGCCCACAGATGCAGTGGGGGTCTGCATGCCAGTAGTACAAAACCGGTTGCTTCACTTAAATAACAGAAGCAGGACGTGTCATGTGTGAATGACCTTGCTGTACCTGTTAGGAGGCATACAAAGGAAACCACTCATGGTTGCTGTCGAATGCATCAATGAAGAGGTGTTTGAACCCCCCTCCCTGAAATCTAAAATGGCACCCCAGCATGCATCAGAGACTTGTTTCCTTCCCTTTTGCCCAAGGACTTTAGTTTACTGCCAAAGCCCCCTATTGCACACCCAGTTCTCTGCCAGAAGAAGAAAACAGGCAAATGCCGTCCATTATTGCAAATGGAATTTGGCTATTTGGTCTATCAAGCTTAATTCATTAGGTACCATTCATCAAAAGCGGACAATCTTCTCTCTTCCTGCTTAGGCCTACATAAGATGTTGTGTCCTCACCATATAGTTCATAGTAAAGGGAAGGAAAAACAAAGATCATGAGGTATTTGAATCAATAGGGCTGATCTTGAGGGCCATAAGGAATGTGAAGTTGTGAAAGAGTCTCTCACCTTTGCATTCTGCTGCAGCCCTTTTCCTAATTTTCCTCACTTTTCTCTTCTGTCCTCCAGACTTGTATTCGTACTCCACAAATTTCACCCTGAAACATTGCTGAAGCACCTGTATACGTGTTCAAACATTGCCTACCCACAGACCAAACAAGAAGAGGTGGCACAAACTTAGCTTTCCCTTTGTCTATAGTCACCGATTTATCCTTCACTGAAGAGAAATATGTAGGTAATACTTGCTAAGCAAATGTGCACTGGGGCCTAGTAGTTGTGCAAACTGAACTGCGGCCTAGTAGTTCTGGTCTCAAGGTATCTGTCACACTTTGCCATGTTTGCATCGTATCATTAAGTATTGGTGCTTAAGGGACATTTGGGTATTGCTGAAGATTCAGCCACTGACATTTTTAGCCACACTGTGGTCCGTTGAGATACCAAAATTTATTTGGCAATTTATTGTTCGTGGTGCAGACCCTCCCAGAAGCTCAGGGTCTGGGCCTCAGCAATTTTG